TCACCACGGTTTGTGCATGGATGCGATCATTCCTATAGTAGATTTTGGAATGCTGCATGCTGCGGTAGTTCCAAGCCCTACCCCACCTTCGCCCCTGTAGCCTCAGCACCCGTGGAGTCGCTGCTATCCGGTTTGACTGCAGGCGCCTCCACGGCCTCCAAGGAACTCCAGAGGGTAAAATTGGAGAGCACAGTGGCTGCATTTGTATCTCAAGGACCAGTGGCGTCAGCAAGCACGGCACTTGGGCATATCTTCTGCGCTTTTGCAAAGGCTTCTTAAACGTTCTGGGCGAGTTTCGTAGCTGGACGTGCAGGTCGATTAGCTGGGCCACAAGCAGCCCCGGCAACTCTGCAGAACCATCGCGAGAATACTCCGAAGCTGTATGATTACAACACCGTCCCGTCCCAAGGTTTATGGTTTAGGGCGTCCTAACAATAAACTGGAAGAAGAGCGCACTGCCGCATTGAGCGGCATGCTCTCCGCGTGCGCCTCAAAAACAATGTAGGCAATGTGTTTAGCTCAGCCAGCCACTAAACACACGCACAAAACAAAGTCATGAGGCTCAAAACTTCAGCTAAAAACGAGGTGGAGGGGGGAAAAACAAGCAGACAGGAAAACATAGCATATATCACAAATGCCGTCATATATTGTAGCAGTCAACTCCTTTAGCACCGAAAAGGGGGGGGCAAGACAAGTCAAAGCAAACAGAAAAACTACTCAAACAGTAACGGGAAGACTCGCTCTGGTGGGATGGAACAGATCATACTAACGTGCAAAAGTCACAGAACGCGGGCCGCACAGCAGATTTCTTTTGACGCAGGACAGGACCTGGTCTGGGCAGGGGGACAGGACCCCTCTGCTTCGCAACCGGACGAGACCGGTGCGTCAAAAGTTGAAAGGAAATGTGGCATGAGCATCGCGCGTTGTGCATGTTTGTGAGCCACTGAAGATTGTTAACACACGCACTCAGCCACTGCGAACGGTCACCCCTCTACTTTGCAGCCGAACTGAGCCGGTGCGTCAAAAGTTCGGAAAAACAGCTGAACTCGCGCGTGACACCGTGCTTTACATGTTTTGCTCAACTTAAACGTCAACGACTCGCACGTCACGAACCAGCCTGTGACCTACCGCCCTACCGACGTTTGTATCGGCTTGCCTCAGGCGTCTCACGTTTCCGCTTCAAGCCGGACCCCGTTGACTGTTTGCCTTTCCCTTTTGCTGGGATACCGAGATCATCGCATACGGCTTGGTGTAACCTCCCAGGACGCCAAGCTCCCTCACGCATCCCTAGCTCTGGCCACACCCCGCCCTTCTTCGCAAAAACTGGCCTCAGCCTCGGATCAAGCCACAGACTGCGAAGTTTTTGCCCTGTCGCACCAAACTGGAACGTCGTCACGAGTACACGAGTACCCATGCCCTATCGTCTTCTGGCGCACGACTCAAATTCGAGATTGCGGATATTCCCACCGTCGAACCCAAGGCCACCAACTCCTCTGCAGCTGCGCTTGCCTCTGCCCCTTGCCTCGTAGCTGCTTCTGACAACGCCCCCAACTGCGCGTCATACACCAGCAACTTAAGCGGTTTACCCTTTTCCTTCGTCCCATTCATCACTGCTTCCCTGTCTGACTGATACACGGCCAAGACCTCTTTGAGTCGAGACCTCAAGAGCCCGGACACGAAAAGAACTATCTGCTGTCCGCTCCGGGCTTCCCCTGAGTCCTAACAATAAACTGCCTCCTGCAAGCCCTGCCGCATGCTAGCGCTTTGCAAGTCCTGATCTGGAATCTTGAGTAGTCCGAGACAACCGAATTGCCGGCAAATAACCTGTTGAGGGTGTTCTGATGTTGGTGGGCCACAAATGAGACGTGAAGACTCCAAGCCGCCTTCGGCTGAGTGTGCTACTCGAAGCTCATCGTCTGAGGTCGAAACATGACGCTTCATAGGCTGTTTGAAGGATAAGGTTTGGGCTGGCCTCTTTTCATCCTCGGGGGCTTGGCAGGCTCAAGCGTCTTGCTGATGGCTCCGATCTTCTACGGTCCCTCCAAACTATACCCTCTGAGAAAGCTACCAGCTGAATCCGGCAGGGCCTCGAAGTAAACGCATGCGGCCATCTCGACCTCAAAGGCAAGAGCGAAAGCCAGGAAACGTGCATTTTGAGTTGCTGGTTTTGTGACCAGGGCGGCTCCAGTAACAGCTCACACCTTGAAGGTTCAGGGTTGTGGCTGGCGTGAAGGTCCAGGCCTGCAGAGCTAGATGCTGTCGGCCAATTTTTACGGTTTGGCCAGATGTCTTCCATCATCCGTCGGGGCACGCTGTAGCCGCAGTGCTTGAGCACTTTCTTCGCCACCCTTTTGTTTGTCCCGGTGACCTGCGGCCAAGCTGTTTCGCTGAAACAAAAAGCATGGGTGAGGAATAATTAGCTGGTCCCCAAACAAACACGTGCGGTGTCAATGGCGGCATTGTTGTCGGGAGCCGGAGTTTTGGGGAATTTCGCTGTTATGCGTTCTTTGTTACTGCATGTATGCATCTAGCTGTTCAACGGCGCCTGTTTGTGCTTTCTCGCCATACGATGCGCTAATTCCACCAGCAGCAAAGCTCGCGCGGAAGATCGCGCAGCCAACGCAACCGATCTTGCGATCTAAGCCCGCTTCTGTTATTCGATGGGCGCGAGATACTCGGATCAGGATGATTCTCAGATTATCTCATGACCTTGATGGCTGTGGGCGCCCATGGTCGTTACTATTGAAATGACGGCGATGCCGGCGGCGGTCGTTCAAGCCGGTTCCTGGAGGCAATCATGCGCACAGCTGCGTTCCCCAATCCACTGTGGAAAGACACCGAATATTGCCCTTGCTCTTCAAGGTCACATGCTCCGGCAAAATGCACGGACATGCCCAATATGGATTTCGGCGCAAGTGAAGATTGCTAACGGACTGTTCATCGTCCACAGCAGCACCCGAACAACAAGAAGCCTGCGACTAGAAAAACCCCCTACAAGAGGGCGCCGTACACGGTCAACACTTTATTTGCGGAATCCTCATGCACATGCTTACGATAAACTCAATAAAACTATCGAATTTGACTGGTGCCCTCTGCTTTGGAAAACTATCGAATTTGACTAGTGCCCTCTGCTTTGGAAGCGACGTACACTAAATCCTATCAAGCCTGTCAGAAGGTAACTGGAGAACAGGTGATGGGCACGAGAAAGCTGGGCAGATCCTACTTCTGAGGGTGGCGACATCCAGCTGAGCCTTATGTCCCGATCCTTTCAGCCTATCCGGCCCGCAACCCGTTTCCCTGTCCCTCGGCGCGCCTCCATGAAGTCTTGAATTGCCTGCTGCCACAATGAGGTTTCACGCACACTGGTCCGGGAGAGCTTGTCCAACTCCCCCCTTACGAGAGCACCAGTCAATCTCATGGACGGCGGCAAGGATGCCCACATCAAAAACATGAAAATTGCACGCAGGAGCAAACCCTGCACCCTGGACTGAACAACACCTCAGGAGCCGCCGGCCTGTTTCTGCAAGATCTTCTCGTCCAGTGCTTTAATGAAAGCTTGTTTCTGTGCACAGCGGGCGCAACTCAGAATCAGCCCTAGACTCTAGACCTTCCACCATGCTGCACTCTTCACCCTAGCTGCACTGAGTGCCAACACTTGCACCGTCTACCTTACATCGCAATCATCTCACTCTGCTTTTCAGCTGCAGTCCTGGTCCTGCGGCAAGCGCCGGATCTTCTCGATGAAGGCCTGCGGGCGTGTTCTAGAAAAGATACGAGGCCCGACCCTGTCTGAACCCGCAATGCTAGACCCGCATCTCTTGAAGGCTTCCGCAGATCTGGTAGTGCGGATCTTCGTGAACTGAGGGCTTGCCCGCACAATGCAGCTTGCAGCTCCGGCCCCTTGCTTGACCCTCAACTCTACAGCTAGGACCTCCAACTCTCAGGGCTTTCAGCGATACTTGGGCAGGGGAAAAGTCGGAGTAGCAACGCGCAGCCATGGCTACAAAGGCCGGACGCAGGAGCTTGTTTGCTGCAGGTACAGTCAAGTCAGTTTGGAACCAAAGGCATCCAAAGGCACTCATTCCCAGGACGCGCGCATCCTGGTAAGCCTTCACGACTCAAAAGCCCCCAAGTTAGACCTCTCAGACCTTTGAGAGACCAAGCACCCTTCCACATTCCACCCAGCAGCCTTGGACCCATAAGGCACGTAACTAACACTGGGGAATGCACCTGCAGGAGGCGCTGCTGCTGTTGCAAGGCCTGGCCCACGCTAGCCGGCACAGCACCACAACACTACGGAAGGCTCCCAAGGGATTAGAGGACGACACTACTGGAACAATGTATGGTACATAGTATTGTCGATTTAGTGACTTTCGTGAGTGATTTTTGATATGGAATATGCATTCACACCTTCCCAAAAGGGGTTGCCCCGTGTCCGCAGATTCTGCTTTCCTGAACAAGTGCATATATATCCAGACTCTGTGCATGCAGCATCCTACAAGGATGCAACATCCTACAAGGGCCAGCAATCGGCACTTCGGCCTCAATTTTCCTCTGGCCGAAAGGAGGAATCCTCCCGTCTCCCGTCCCATTTCGCCACGACGGCGCCGAATTCATCTCGACCCCAAGTCCTGAAGTTTAAACCATCAGCCATCACTCGAATGAGCCTTCCAAAGCATCAATCCAGCCCGCAACCATGCATTGGACACCCTGGTTTCTAAACTTTTCTAAACCCTTTGAAGCCACAATACCCAAAGCCCGACCAATCGGATCAAATATGGGCACAGGCGTGCCCCATATAAAAACGGGCGACAGCTGTCCACCACTTGGGGCCGTCAACTCCGAACGGAGTCTTGAGATTTGCGGCTGTGGGAGACAAGGCGCGGCAGAGAGATCAAGACATGGGTACAGGAGCCTGTTTCATTGGATCGGCCATTTAAGTCTGTGCAATGATTTAATGTCTAAGACCTGCGTGGGAATACTGTCGCTACAGTCGGGCCCTACTCCCTCTCCGCCCCGTACAAGATCTTCATGAGGACCGCTGGAGCGTGTTCTTTCAGTACTCCCGGCCCATCGTCCGGCAGCTCATACTTGGCTATCCCCATAATTTCATTCACCTTGTCATTCACTGGGTTCTCATCGAACTCTGGACGGCTCTCGTCGAGATATGGGGTCTTAGCTCTATCCAATGGCTTCGGATATGCCGTCGAGCACAACTCTTGGTATCTATCCACGCACTGCTTCATGAAATCGGTTACATCGTACCGAAGAATCCTGATCTCATCGGGACTATCATCCTTCACTTCAGCCTTCCCCACGAAATTGGGCGGTTCCTTCTTCGGCTCGATTATCTTCGTCCATTCATGTCTCGGCTCAAACGGCGACCGAAAAGGCACCGAGCTGGCTGTGTGCAAGCACCCCAAGTACCTGCCCATGCTTCGCGGCTCTTCAAGCTTAATCCTCTTCGCCAACTTCTCCCATCCTATCGCTAGTTTCTCCTTGGGACCCGCAAGCTTGAAGTCATCCACATAGATCACCAGCATTAGCTTCAGCTCTCGATGGAAGAACACGCTTGGCCAATCCGGGAGGAATTCGAAGCCAACTTCAGTCACAGCTTTCTCAAAATGCTTCTCCCAGAACCCCCCGGCATCCGGATGCCCGTATAGCGCCAGCCTCAGTGGTACCACTGGGTCATCTATCCCCTCCCATTCGTCTGGCCATCTATCCCTCGGGATCCGTATCCATGTCTTTGGCCCTCCCAACAGTGCCTGGGTATACGCCGACTCGCCGTCCGACATCTCAATGTCATGTCCTGGCAACATCCCATAGGCGTCTGCCATCTTTCCTGCCTCGAGCGTGGCGGGGCACGATGTGATCTCCTGGAAAATGGCCCATTTTCCTTCCTGGTCCTTAACATGACATCCCTCGAACACAACTCTCCCCTTATATTTTCTAAGAGGATCGTCTTCAGCAAGTTCCCAGTTCTTTTCCACACAGATGTCGAAGATACGACCCACGTGTGCTACCTCCCCTCTATCCATCGCCTCCCGCTGAACATCCTTCCACGATCGAACCTCATCCATTATCCATACCACCTGGTCCATCAGCTTCTTCCATTCCTTATCAAGCGCCGCGCGGGCCTTAGGGTTAATAGCCCTTTCAGCCTTCGTGACGGGCCTCGCGACCAGTCCGAATACTTCCTCGATGTCCTCCTCTTCGTCCTCGACGATGGTCGCCATCAAGGGCTCACACTCCCCCAGCGCTTCGTCGAAGCTATCGCTATTCTCGGCGTCCGCAACTTCTTCCCAACTATCCTCTTGATCTCCGTCTATCTCTATGGCAGGAACCGCGACTATTCCATCTCCATATTCCTCTTCTTCGTTTTGGTATCCTTGCCGAATCAAATTGTCGACAGGCGTAGTATGTTTGTTCATGAAGCATGCGAAGCAAAGCGTCATTGATGTGAGAATCAGACTCGGTACCTTGGCTTTCCCTTCCAATACTCGTCGGCATTCTCGGCACTTGTACGCCCTATCCGATACATGCCTGACTCCGATTCTTCGCCTATTCTCATCTCTATCCCGCCTCGCCCGTGATCCCCTCTATTCCTGTCTCTTTCTCTCGCACGGGCCTCTCTCGCCCAGATTGCTTTCTTGCTCTCCCGATGTGCCCGGCGGTGTCTCACTTCCTTCACGTTCTCAGGCACTAGGCATCCCCGTATTCTCGGTCGAAGGCATACTCCCTTATTGAACTCCATTCTCATGATCGGTCCCCCTTTCCCTCCGAACGTGATGGGAAAACTATTCCTATTCTGAATAGCCACCAGAATTTCCCGTTCGGATGACACTTCGTACCCTATAACCTCGCACATAGTTTCCGCAACAAGTTGCCCTAGCGCGGATACTCTCACGTTTGTGCCGGGATCTTCTGGATATGCTATCCCAGTTCGAATCCATGTGTATCCTATCAGTGGGACATGAATATCGTCTTTTAGCTCGAGAACCAATGCGTTTCTCCCTGCCTCCCACATGACTATGTTGCACTCGCCCTTTTCCATAGTCTCGATGTTGATGGTTTCCGCGTGCCCGACCCTGAAGAACGCCTCATCCACGGATTCCCGTTCCTCCTCTAGGTCAGACGGTGTCCATCCTTCTGAGTCGAACACATCACTCTGATCATCGAATCCCGAGCTATGCTCCCTATCCTGCTCGTGATGTTGTCCCGTTTCGCTATGTTCCTTTCCCCAATCAGCACCACTATCCATCCGTCGCTATTCATATCTCCCACCTCCAGCTCTTCTCCAGGATAAGCTACTGCAGCCCCTTCGGTGCTATGTCTGGTGCGGTGGCTATCTGGCTTCATCATCATAACCTTGCCTATGTCGTCGCCGTCAACCATGATCACACGCAAGTCCTGGATGTTCTTCGCCCGAGGTCCGAAGACTTCCCCCATTACCTCTCGGTCAGGATTATTCAGAACAATACATCTTCTCCATCTGGGCCCCTCATGACTGATGTATGGTGCTCCATCCTCGGCTGCCGCAACAGCATAGTTCCTCCCTAACGTTTGATCTTCTCTATCCGCAGCATCGTCGATGTTTTCGTCGTCTCCCTCCATATCTATCACCCAATATGAGTTCCCCCCATCCATCCTTCTCTTGGCTATCTTCAGCAGCTTCTCAAGCGATCCTCCAGTCTCATCGCCTCTATTCGTTCCTTTTTCCAGCTGCGCCACGGATTCCACATCGAGTGTCGCTATACCGCTGCCATATCCGAGGTACTCTCCCTCGTGTTCTTCACATGCCATTGACACCGAGTCAGTCTCTTCCTCGCCGCAGATATCTATCACGTTCTCGTACCACCTTGGCCATTTCGCGCATCGCCTTACGCTCTTGCTCTCGATGTACATCCGTCCTTGGGTCCGATGCCCTCACCATGCGTGACATTAACTCATGATCCCTTGGCATATGATCACACACTAACATGTCAGCTGCGATCGCATTCATCATGCATGGCGTGATCATTCCTATGTAGCACGACGCGTCCACCCCTTCATGCATTCCCAGCATACATCCGTCACTCCTTACTATCCACATGTCCCAGGCAAGCGCCATTCGAACAATGGTCTCGTCCGCCAGTCGGCTTTTACCTCCTACCCAGATGGCCGTGGCCACTATTCCTCTGCTGTTGGCGTCGGAGATAACCTTCTCTATATTGCCGAACACTGTGCTACCTTGACCTTCCTCACGTCTCCAACCAGATGTCTTTCGATCAGCCTCCATTCTCATGCCTTCGTCAGACGCATCAATAGCGATGACCACATCCGTCACGCCTTCTTCTATCGCACATCCTTCTCCCGATATCCAAGAGGGATTCGTACCACCGTCATCGTTGATACCCTCTATTCCGACCTCCATAATTTGCACTTTCGGCTGTTCGCCTAACTCTCTCATCATTTCCCCGATGATGTTGTCTGACGGCGCTCGCGCTATTCCAGCTGAGCTGCACAACTGATTGATGGTCTTCGTGATCTCCTTAGCGCCTCCCATCCTGGTTGCCGGCGCCGCAGGCTCTGCTTGTTCACCTCTATCCCTGTTCCGTCGGTCTTCTCCTCCGTCGGGGACGTACCAGAACTCCGTGACGATATCCCGAGGGACAACAAACCGGTATCTCCCTCTATTCCGCATCATCTCTGCCTGTATGCATGAGTCATACTCAATCGATTCTAAGACCTCTCCTGTGTTAGCGCTCCGAGTAATCCTCCACCAGAGCTCCAGTCGCCTTTTGTCCCTTCCTGTATAGAACCGGTATGATGTAGCTCGATTGTTTCTTACTGCCCACACTCGTCCACCCTCTGGCATTCCCGATGGGGGATCCCATCGATATTCCTGCGGTGAAAAGTCCTGACCGTGGTCAGTGATTTTCTCCATCCACTTTCGATCCCCAAGTTCTGCAGGACGTGGTTCTATCCCCTCTTGCCCTCGAGCAGCAGAAGGGGGCCTCTCCCCTCTGATGATCCGTAGTCGTTGTCCCGGGCTCATCCTATTCCACTCTGCCGACGATATTGAGTTGGGTTTGTGAGATCTCGCGTACGGTCGTTCTATCCTGGGCATATCCTGCTCGTAATCAAGACCCACTCCCCGCATACCCGTCGCTTTCTCTCCTCGCGCTCGCTCCTTGGCTTCAACGTCGATTTCTCCTTCGGGTTCTCCTTTTTCCCAGAATGTAGTGCACCCCGTCCACTTCTTGGTGATCTTCTTCTTACCCTTCATCCTATCCTCATCCAGCACCTCAGATGTACCATTCGCATACACTATCCACGTTCGCCTCCTCGGGCCTAGTTCTCTGTCTCCGGGGCCGCCTGTCCCTTTGACTTCGTCTCCTGGGGTACACAACTCTTTTCGAGGTAGGATGTGATGCAGCGTCCACGAATGGTCTATCTCATCGTGTTCCCAAAAATCTCCATCTCGAAGATGCTGATCATCACACTTGATTTGTCTCATTACATCGGCCCGGACCCTTCTCTCTTCTGCGAAGATTTCCTCCGTCTCTTCTCCGCTTTCCAGCTCCAGTCTAGCCAGAGCATCGGCTCGAGTCGCTGTCATGATTCTCGACTTTCTATCAGCCACAGCTTGCATCGGGAAGTAGTTGGGCATCCCCTCGTCAAGTACTATCCTCTTCACGCGGTGTATCGACGGTACCGTCCACCCGTGGAACAGGTGTGCGAGCTCAACCACTATATAGTCTCCGCTAGGAACACCCCCCGGTTGAAGCGCGTACCCGAGGAATAATCCAGGTGATGTCGGCGTGTCGAACTTCGCCTTGGATGCCATGGCATACGTTCGCTCTATCTCGGCGTCGTGATCTACATATTCTTCCCCGATCTCACCATCGTCTGCACACGCGGCCTGACACACACTATTCACTATCGTCGCAAAGTACTCGTCCAATCTGAAACCCAGCCTCGTTAGCTTCCATTTGCCGTCTATAGATGCCTTCTTACCCGCAGCCAGGGTATACCCTACCGCTATCACTCTATCCTCCGGCGCCAAAGCATCTTCGGTAGCGTGCCAAACTCTGGGATTGAACTTTAATCCACCATCAACCCTCTGAGTCCTTCCCCACACCCATTTTCCCGGAAGAACCTCTTTCTTCACCCCTGTAGTGTCACCGCTCTCACTCGCACACTGTTCCTCTTCGGTCCAGATCATGGCTTCACCCGCCCGCTCGCTGACCGGCACTACGAAGTTGTATGTCTGGCTCTCATTGAATTTGTCCTTGTGTGGCCCCATCCTGGTTCCAACAGACACAATCACCGTAGTAAATGTGGCTTCTGGAAAGCATTTCGCTATCAGCTCGCAGCACACCATAGCTATCCCCGGATATTCCTTGGCGCTATTCGTAATACCAATCTTCCCTCCATATGCGTACAATCCAAGGACTATGAATCCTCTACCGGTAGCCATGCTTCGCGAGTTTTTCGCTATTCCTTTTTCTATCGAGGTGAACTTCAGGATGACGTCCTTTGCTTGTTGAACATTGAAGTCCTGCGTCATGACCATTTTCAACGCATGTCTATCAATCTCTCTCAATTCTTCCTCCCTCTGCGATCGTTGTTCCTTAGTTTCCTTCGTTTCAGAGGGCAAGGCCATGCTCGAAACATCTTCATCAGCTTCGAGAATCTTGAGAGCGTCATTTTCAGGATCCCCCCGTTCGGGCAGGGCCGCGTCCTCTTTGCCCGCTCTTCTAGGCTTCTCGGCTATGGGGAGATAGTTGACGAGGGCCCCGAAAGGAATCAATTTCACCTTATCTTGTTCATTGCCATGTCTTTTTCCGTATGGGCTCACTCCGTCCACTTGTTGTACGTTTCTACGGAAGCAGAAGGTCTGCACGGCATATGGCCACCATTTTGGTTCTAGTCCTGCTTGTCGCAACAGTACCCTGCCACCATAGATGACTTCTTTGACCTTGAGCTCCGCTATGCTATTCGTCCGAGGTAATCCTGGGGCAGAAGTCGCCCTACATGTTCCTATGGTATCACATGCCTTTGAGAACTCTCCAGCTCCGTCTGCATACAGATGCACTACCATATCCGGACCTCGAAACTCATTGATGGCTCGTACGAACTCCTCCGTACCTCTAGACTTCACAGGCGTGCAGTGAATCCATTGTGTCTTGAAGTCGAACAACACGATGGCATTGTTTTCCCCGCGAATGCCCTTGTCCTTGCTGCTGCGAAGCACTATCGTATCAGCAGTGACCCTCTCCCCGAACTTCTCGGCACCTTTGTCAGTGATGCCCTCACCCCTGTTAAACGGTACGTTTATTGCTTTTCCTTGCCGGCAAGCTACGCAATGCATGTTCTTTGGGAGATGCGTGAGCAAGTGTTCCGTCGACTTGGCATACTCCGGTGAATACCTCGCCCTTCTGATGCTCACAGTTTTACTCGATCCCATCCCTTCTCCAAGTCTATCCTCAACTCGCACTTGTTCTGCAGGTTCAATCTCTACCTCTCCTTGCTCTATCTCTCCCACCCCTACGCCGCCATCTTCCTCCTGTGGTTCTCCCATTCCCCGTCTGGCCTGTTCTTCGTCAGCTATCCCAGGTAACTCTATATCGAAATCCGATTCGCCTCTGTTTTCGGCGCTTTCTTCCTCGCCCGGTGCAGCGACAATGCACTCCGTCATCTGTCGATCGTCGTCTGGATTCTTCTTCATCTCTCTGACTAGCTGGAATTCCGTGTCCGTCATGTTGCGAGCGCTTTGTCCTGCTTCGATTTGTTGCGGACTCAAAACCCTCTCACAAAATCCGCACACTCCTGACGAGTCTGCCTTGCATGCGGCGCAATAAAATGTCGTTCCCAGTCGATCATCATCACCAGCTTGCTCTATTATCGTCTCTCTCGGCTATCTCCATTCCGGTCACCGATGATGTTCGGTAGTGCTTGCGCATAGTCTCTTTAATGGCTCGGACAAATCCCGGTACCCATTCTGCCCAGTTTTGCGATTCGTTCATCTCGCCTCTATTTCCGCCATGTTGCTCCGGCTCCCTGTCCTCTAAGATTGATTGCCCATCCTATCAACTCTGCGTCGGTGGCTATCGTCGTCGGCTTCCTCCTGGAGTGTCCCATTGGCCCCTGGTCAAAACTGAACAACTTAGTTCCTAGGATTGCACTCGTCCTATCCCATTCCTCTGTCGCCCACAAAGATGCGTATCCCCCTTCTGGCGTTTCATCCCAATACGTCTCAGGGTCCTGGGGCTGCTCAATGAGACACATCGTTGGGGCTCTTAACGGTCGGTGACGTCCCTTTCCTATCACAATGAGCACGCAGGTGCGCAGTATGATGATGTCGTCGTCGCGGCATTCCTGCTTTTGTGCCCAACTGATGAACGAATATCCCCACCTCTCCGGTCCGTTCCTCGATCGAAGCGGGATCGGACCAGGCCTTTTGTATCTCATCACGGATCTTGTTCTGCAGGGTGGTCCGGCTAGCCAGCAAAACACCAAATTAGTCGTAGCCAGCTTCACTAGCCACCACCACGTATCAGGTCGCAGCACGTTCTCCTCCATGTCAATGTCTATCACATTCATTCCTAACTCATTCGCAATGTCATCGAACTTCCCCCTTGATTTCCCGCAACAGATGTGCACAATAACCCGTTTGCTTCCTTCAATCGCGTTCCTAATCTTCAAGATTTCTGATCTCGTTTCTCCTTGGGGTTTCTGTGCCTTTCCACCGTCCAATATCTCTTGAGGAGCAAACGGCCACAAATACCTGGCTATCTCAACTAGCGTTTCTGCCTCGCCGCCGGTACCGATGTTTTTGTCCAGCATCATCATCAAGTCGTCCAACCCCGCGGTCTCGTCTGCGGCTATCCTATTCAAGATGTGTTTTCTCACCTTCACGCTATCGCTCTGCACCGTTTCCCCGGCGTCCGCTCCTTCAAAGGTGAGCCCTTCTATCTTGAATGTAGTCTTGCCCGTCCACAGATTCTTCTCCGCATCTCTATTCCCTCCTTCATGGCACTCATCCACCCAATCTATCCATTCTGCCACAGTTTTACCTCCTTCGTATATACGCTTAGACCTACACCTCTCGGCGAATCGCGGTACTAGTGCATGTATCTCGGGGAACTTCATCGTCTCAATCCATGGATCACATATCCTCGTCCTTGGTTTGTTGTGAAAACATACCGCTTTGTTACCCGTTAACATCCACTTGTCTAGCAACCTCCCATCGTCATTTCCGGTCTTTCCTATTGGTTCCTCCTCGTTGTCTCTATCCGTGTCTGAGTCCACGCCTTTGGGGCTATGTTCATCCTGTCTTCCCTCGGCTCGCCTCGGACTGGAGTTTCCTCGCACAGGCAGTTCAATCGCAAGAGGTGCTGGCATCGCAGGATAGATGTGATAGTCATTTCGCTCATGCTCGCTGACGACCGTCGACGTTCTATCCACCATGTACGGGATATCCCCGATAACCTTGAGCACAATTAAGCTCGAGTCTGGCTTGACAAACACAGGGTTAGCACCCGCTAGCCAATGGAATGAATATCCCATTTTCATACATCTCCTCCCCATCGACAGAACAGCAGGGGTACTCTCAAGCATTCTAATCCTCATTGTCTCGGGCATCCCCTGTATGTCCATGCATATCTCTTGCTTAGACGTGGTGTTGCCATTGGCGGTGTTGAACCTCACTTTCTTCGCTTCGATGGCCAATTCTTTTTCATCTTGTGTGAGGTCTGCTTCTGCTATAAGATCCATAGCGCATCCCGAGTCTATCATCCATCGTCTCATTACCGGTGGCAGGCATTGTTGAGCTGATGCCGCTGGTTGACTTTCCTCTCGGCTATCCACGCGAAATCTCTCATCAACTATACCTATTCTCCTGCATTCTTCCACTATCCTGTCGGCCAACTTCGACGCTGCCTTACCTTCCTCGCCTTGCTCCCCGGCCAATATGTCCAACACACCTCTTCGGCCAGAGATATCCCGCGCAGCCTTGCCTTTGCTTCTTCAATCACGGGATATCGTTTCATATCATGTTCATACCCTTTCTTGTGCACGTTCTTGCATTTTCGAACCATCTTGTCGGCTGGGTGTCCTATCCAATAGCAGATATCCAGCCCTGCTATTCCCGTCTCATCAGAGCCCAATCCCTTGACTCTTCTATTGCCCTTCTTCGCACGCTCCCTTCCTACAGTCGTCAAAAGTATCCCCCTATGCGTGCTTTCAGCGCCATCATCCCCTTGTCGTACCACAGGCATGGCTGCATAGACCTTGCTATCATCGTTGGCCTGTGGGTTTCGGCCCGCCCCTAGCGAAAACTTGGCCCTTCCCCATCGGCATGCGGACTTGACGGTCTCGTCTCCTTCTGCTCTATCTCCACAGTCTCAAACGCTTCTCTAACACTATTCGGGATGGCCTCATGAAGCATTTTACACTTGTCATTTCTGCAGTTGCCATATCGGAAATGTTCGAAGCAGTATCCCGCCTTCTTGAGGACCTCCTCCGCCTGACTATATAGATAAATGTCATGTGAATGCTTGCAGTCCGCCGCAGTCATCGGGCACGTTCCGCGCGTATAGGGATAGCAGACTCCCCTCTTTCCGAACGGCGACTTTGATCCATATCTATTCTTCGGGTCATCAGCTCTCCCCGCTTGCGAAAGTCCGTCCCTGCCCCTGCCCACGGATATCCCTCTTCCATAGCCATTTCCCCCTCCGGGCGATGAACTCCTCTGTCTCTCATCTGCGTACGTGCTTCTTCTATTCAGCGGTGCTCTATACGATCCCTGCTGAGCCGGCATCGCTGCGTACCCACTCGAGAACGCCTGTCGGCTCACCCACATTGAGGCCTCATCTATATTCTTATCCGCTCTCCACATCTCCAATCTATCCTTGATTCTCTTTCGCAACCAGGTATGTGTCTTGGCCTCGTCCGGAAGCAATCTCCACGCCTCGATATCGTGATTCAGCACTTGAACTCTCTGTACCTTCGAATGCAACATCCAGCCCAGCTGTTGCTCGCTCCATGTGTTGCCCTTTAGCCCTACAAGGTTCGTGTGTGCCAGATCCCATCTAGTCATGAATTCTTCCATAGCCTCCTCTTCGGGCTTCCCTGGGAAATGCATAACCTTCGTGCTACTCAGGCCATCGTACAGCACCTGGCTCTCCTTAGCTATCGGGATCTCAACATGCTTCACTATCAGCGTAAGCAACCTCATGGCCGTCATCGGTTTTCCATCTCCCACTTTCTGAGTCTTGTACATCTCCATTTTCACCTTTGCTGACAACGACTCTGACTTTATCGCTCTCTTCAATCCGCTAAATAGCTGGTTCTCTAGCGCAGGGTACTTGAGCTCCATGTCTATCATCGCTTCGCTCCTTTCACGTACCTTCAGCACCTGCGTGTAGGCATACTCTCCATCATACAGGTACGCAGCCTTCGCGGTATGCGCAACATCACCCAGCCACAATCCTACTTCTCCGGATGATGGCTCTTTCGCTATAGAGATCTCGTTGCATTTTTCCATTCCCCTAGTGTCCTTGATCTTGCTATACCCCCCGCCGACTGGGTTCCTAAACCTGGCATCATCCCCATCATGATCGCGTCCGCCTGGCGGTCTCGGAAGTCCTGTCCCGGCATATCCTCCCGCATCGAATCCCCTTCTATCAGTGGAGCACAGCATGCATAAGTCATCATTGTACTCATAACAGCCGCCACACACCTCTCTTCCGCAGCCTTGGCATGCAATCATCATTTCTGCCGGTCGAACGCACACGGGGCATCTTCTGAACCTAGTCTCTTCCCCTAACAAACCCCCATCTCCCTGTCTGTCCTTTCTTCCGTGCTCTCTTCTATCCCCGAATGAACTCGGCGCAGGCGTGGCACCCGCACTTGGTCTCGCCGAACCGGTGTTCGATGCACCTCCTGCAGCCGGCGCCGGCATGGCATACTCGGAGCTCTGCTTAGCGATCTCACCTATTCTATTCCACATGCTATCCAGCTCTGCCTTGATGCTATCGTTTCGTTTCACCTGTTCCAGCCTCCGTTCATACTCTCGCACCGTTGCCTCCAACTGCTCATTCTTCTCCTTGAGCTCCAGTAATTCCCTACTTCCCGCTCTCATCCTAGACACCTCATCTCTGCTATCTCGAATCATTCGCGCTACCGACTCCGTTACCCCCTTATTCTCCCCTTTCATGCTTTCTATCTCCCTGAGCAAATCAGCGTTCTCCCTTACAATCCGTTCATTCACCGTGGTCAATCCCTCCAATTGGCTAGTGATCTTGATCACCTGCTGTTCCAACATAGTGCATCTGCTCTCGGTCCTCCTATCTATCACTGTTCCCGTTGTCTCCGGTCTTGAAGCCTCTATTCCCCGAGCGTTGTCGCTTCTGGCTCTTCCGTCAGCTCCCCCGCCTCCACCGTGACTATCTCGCCCACGTGACATTGTCGGTGGCCTCCCTATCTCCGCGCTGGTTCCTCGTGTTTTACCTACCCCTTCATTCCGTACACTCTCGTCGATCCGAGCATTGACCAGGACGAACTCGCCCATGACTTTTTTCTGTTCATCTATCATCCGACTCGATATCGATTCCATCGTCTTTTCCATCTTTCGCACGGTGTCCTTCACCCATGCCTGTTCTCCATTTCTCTTTTCGTCTATTCGGTCGGTTCTCGCAGCGACAATCTCACACGTCTTGTGGACCTTCGTCATGTTTGCCACAATCTCGGCTACGCTTT